ACATTCATAACTGCTCATGGCGTATCAAATGTAAACAAATGACGTCATTCATTAAGAATTGGACAAAGTCCGACAATTTATTAAAGACATTTTTATGTTTAACATTCTTTTTATATTTTTTTATTCATGGAAGATTGAAGTTTATAAGCAGTAAATTCGACATTGCTTACCGAACGCTCCTTTGTGGCCGAGTCGGTTAAGGCACGTCATCGTAAATGACGGTTCCGTATCGGATGCAGGTTCGAATCCTGTCAAAGAACGAATATTTTCTATGAAAATTTCTCGGACATTCAGGCCGGTAAATGTTATTTAATAATGTTTATTATAAACAGAGCATTTACTTTAATACTTGTATCTATAAAAAGAATGTTAAACATAAAAATGTCTTTAATAAATTGTCGGACTTTGTCCAATTCTTAATATATATATATATATATATATATATAAGCCCAAGAATAGGATTGATGTATACGGAATAAATTCCAATAACCAAAAAATAATGTTCTTAAAAGAATGCTCAATACAGAGTAGAGCAAATATTATAATTTATTCGAAAATTATATCATAAATATGTTATAAAATGACTACAAAAATAGCCATTTTGTTTCAACACTTCTGGTGTCTCCTCGTTGGGGGAAACGCTGTTGCATAAGCTACAATGACCAATCAAAATACAAGTAAAATACAAGTACTTGATAATTAAAAAAAAAAAAATTGAATTCTCATATACTTGTATGAGGGGTTTTTGGTCGAATTGAACATTTTGAATCTCTTCCTTCTACATTCAACACCATCAGTTGAAAGACACCAGAAGTGTCGAAACAAAACGACTATTTTTGGAGATTTTTATTTTATTTTTATTTTTTCATAACATATTTATGTTGTAATTTTCGTCGAATTCGACGTATGAGGGTCAAGCAAATCAATTCCAAGGAAACTGACAGCCCGAATGAGATTCTATTATAGTGGTGAAGGCCTCGTGCAGGACCATCCACACTTTTTGAAGGTCCGAATACAAACCTGGTGACCCAAGGTCCCCAAACGACCCTCCGCAGGTTTTGAATTCAGAGTTGTCCTTCTCCTAGACCAGTTGCCATTCAATGCTACAGAACCCAGTATAATATATATGTCTGTTTATTGTAGTTTCAGTCCTTTTAAGTCCAGGAATTAATTACTTGGTGGCTGTAGAAAATTGATTAAGAAAAATACCAAAGTTTTCTTTCAAATAATTTTTATTTTCCCAAGTACTTTCAATCTCTTCCGAGATTATTTTCAAGGCGTTAAAAAAAATCTGTGGATTTTTATACTGTAGCTCCGTAAATTCAAAATATTTTTTCAATGTTCAGCGTCACAAATACTAATATGCAAAGGGGTAACCTACGTAATTTTTTTAATTTTAATATTTAAAAATGAAAGATTTTTAGTTTTTTAGCTATAATATATTTATATAATATTTAGTTTTTTAGCTATAATATATTTATATATTTTAGTTTTTTAGCTCTAATATATTTATATATTTATATAATATATTTTATATTAAACCATATATATAGTTTTTTATATAAAACTTTGCTGCCCCAAACATATAAGAACTTTTATTTATTTTCACCCAATTCTCTCTTATATATATATATATATATATATATATATATATATATATATATATATATATATATATTTCAATTAAAAGGTGCAAATATAATTTATAAATTCATGAATCATTCATACAAAAAATGATTCATGAATTTATAAATTATATTTGCACCTTTCAATTGAAATTAAAATAACTGATCCAACGTGCAACTCTCGGATAATAAGTGTGACATTACTGTAATTATTGAACAATATAGTTCATGCCATATTCAAGGAAAATCTATCAGTAAAAAAGAATTCTCTTCTTGCTATATTTGTACAAAAACGCACAACCTTAAAATTTAAAATTCAAACTCAGCGTTGCGACCGCACGTTCCAAAACAATAACACATTTCTCATAGCATTTTTTCGGATTACATCTCTATTTCCGTTGTCCTCTTATTACCGAGAAGAAAAAACAAGAACAAAATCTATTTCCATACCTGAGGATGTCTGTAGGAACAGACGAAAGCTTGTAAAAAATTAAAAAGACCTTATGCAACTGGAATTTATAAACAGGGATCATATCATTCATATACAGGTTCGGGGTTGGTGTATCTTATTTATGTGTTTGCGACGATGTATTCTCGCCATTAAATCATTAACCTCTATATTTGTTTTTTTTATGAATGATTCATGAATTTTTATATATATATATATATATATATATATATATTGTGTGTGTATTTAGGCAGCATTTTTTCATTGATGCATGTTTCATTAAATAATATAGACAAGTTTTATCTATTTATTTTGTGTAAATTCTTTTCATATCGTCTGATAAGCTTAATAAAATTATCATTAAAAGAAGAAAGAAAATCACAATTATTTATATAAAAAAAAACTCTCCCAATGTTCTTTTTATCCAAGCGCTTTCGGCGATACATTTAGCCATTTTCAAGGGTTAAATATTTCAAATTGTTTTATAAAATTTATAAAAATTTATTTATTTTTTTATAAAATGTTTTCATTTTTCAAAACACGGTCAGGATATTGTGTCCATGTTCAAAATTAATATTATTAAGATTTGTTTTTTGTTTTTATTAATAAGGCTTCCATTATTTTTAGTCTTTTTGCATATAGATGATGCTATTATAGTATTTATTATATATTGAAAAATAAAAACATTATATGATACATACACTCAACAAACTATTTCTTATTTAACAGTTAAAATATTTAATCCTTGAAAATGGCTAAATGTATAGCCGAAAGCGATCAGATAAAAAGAACATTCGGGCAGATTTTATATAATTTATCATCCTAAAAGAAAAATATTATTAGATCGCATAAGAAATTGTATAAAAAAAGTAAATAAAAGCACCTTGTCTGTCGTATTCAATGAAATGTACATGAAAGAAGAATTGCTGCCTAAATATATATATAATATATATATATATATATATATATATATATATATTTATCTTTTAAAATGATACCTTCGCCGATTTTCTCGATCAATCATATCTGATCTAACGTAAATAATGACAACATATTATATGAAATAGATTAAATCCCTCAAATATTTTAATATATTTTCGATTTGTACGTTTTTTGTGGATATATTTATTTGACTAAATGCTCTGTTTGATTCAATTAAACATTAGGAATTACATTTTTCGTAGAAAATATGCGTGCTTCGACAGAACAATCGGCGAAAGTGTGTGTTTAAAGACAGTAATTCGAACTTTGCTAAACCGGAAGTTTAGTGTGGCTTGCTTTGTTTTAATATTAATGGCCTCCAATATCTGAAGGTTCTTTTTACAAACTAGTTACAACACATTACACTGCATCTAGACATATTGTTCCGTAGTTAATATAAAAAAAATGATTTCACAACCGAAAATTACCCCTTACCCAAAATATATTGTAATGCGGAGGACAATGACAAATTTTAATGTCTTCCCATTTTACCAATGCGACTACAGAACCCCTGAACAAAGGCGGATTAATAAGGCAATCTTTTTCATCAACAATTCCAAAGCCATATTTAATTCATTGCATAAATAGATTCTACCAAATTACCCTTAACATAAACGACAAATATTTATAGCCACTTATGCCCCTTGTTTTTCATTTTTTACAAAGCATAAGCATCAACACGTGGAGATAGGAACAGTTGAAAACTTTTTGAAAAGTTAAGCAAAACCGGTGAAAGGAAAAAAGGTTTTAAAAAAAGCAAAACATCAAATTATTTTTCTAAGACCCAAACACTGAAAATCCAATTGTACGTATCGTTTTAACTCTTCTCTGTAAAAATTCATATATTATAAATAAATATCACTATATTAATTATTAGGTGACTTTTTTTTTTCAAATCCTCATTTAATCTCTCTCTCTCTCTCTCTCTCTCTCTCTCTCTGTATATATATATATATATATATGAATCATGAATCATTCATACAAAAAGTAGATTGGTAAAGTTAATGATATAAAATGGCGAAAACTCTTCACAAATAAAATTTTAAAGTTGCATTAACCTACGAACCACTCGATGAATGTTATGATCCTTGTTTTTAATAACTACAAGCTGTATACGGTCTTTTTTTAATCTGCAAGTACTTTCAACTGTACATTCAGTCATCCTCGGGCATGGAAATTATTTTGAGTAGTAGCGTAGACAAAAGATAAAATGCGAATCGAAATCTGTTTTTTTTAGAAATGTGTTATTGCTAACGGGTAAAAACTTTTGAAACGTGCAGTCGCAACGCTAAGGTTGAATTTTTTTGAAAATTTCAGAGAGTGCGTCTTTTACTAATATGATAATTTGAGAATTTTTTTTTGTAGGATTTTATCAGTCAATGTGGTATGAACTAAATTGTTCAATAAATAGAGTAATGTCTCAGTTGTTATCCCGAAAATTTACACGTCGTATTAGTTCTTTGAAATCAAATATGTGGTGCAGTTCAATATAGATTGCAATGAATCATTCATACAAAAAATAGATTAGTAAAGTTAATGATATAAAATGGCGAAAACTCTTCGCAAACAAAATTTTAAAGTTACATTAACCGACGAACCACTCGATGAATGTTATGATCCTTGTTTTTAATAACTACAAGTTGTATAAGGTCTTTTTTTTTAACTGCTAGTACTTTCAACTGTACGTACAGTCATCCTCAGGCATGGAAATTTTGTATGCAAAGAATTTTCGCCATTTTATATCATTAACATTACTAATCTACTTTTTGCAAGAATGATTTATTGTAATTTATATATATATATATATATATATATATATAGACTCTCATCATTCTCACTTCAAGATTAATTATATTGCGTTCTCCCCGAATCAGGTTTATCTTGGTCCTCCGACATGTTTTAAGCATCAATGTCGCCTCTACGTGAATCCGTACCGTTTCTTCAAGCGCTGTTTTTGCCACGTCACGTTCTTCCATTTCTAACCTAACAAACTCTCACAATTTTCTCTCTCTTCTACTATTGCCCACTAATCTCTCTCTCTCTCTCTCTCTCTCTCTCTCTCTCTCTCCTAAACTCCCTCTCTCATTTTCCGTCTGCACACTTTGGTCACAAGAAGAAAATGTCATTCCTCGGCGGCACCAACGTGTCGGCAATTTCTTGGCCCATCGACCTGGAGTAGCTTTCATGATAACAGGTGCGCTTGATGCGCGCCCGCCCAGTTCTAACTAAACGTGCGTGGGACGGGAGACTAATTGGATTTCGTAACCTGTTCAGTTGTCACGCACCTTTCAGACGGTTATCATTCGGCCCTAACTTCCCTTGATCTGGGTAATGCTCGTAGTGAACATGTCTCCTGTCTCTCTGTTGGTAGCACACTGTTAGAGTATAGGTACAATTATACGTGGCACTTATCGCATGCTTAACCTGGAAATATAGAAATCTGCAATATTTGGTAAAGTGTTCTAACGTGTACTAAAGCGGCAATTCCAGAGTAAAATCTATTTACTCCCACTCTCTCAATATATATATATATATATATATGTATGTATACAAAATATGGAATGCAGAATGAGAAAAAAAGATGTCAGTTAATTGTTCAAACCTCCTGAAAAGTGGACTGAACGTTTAAAAAAGTTAATCGAAATAAGAAATTTATAACATCAATCATTTAAGTGATAAATCTTATATTTACTAATCATAATATATATATATATATATATATATATATATATATATATATATAAATTCATCAATCATTCATACAAAAAAATAAATATAGAGGTTAATGATTTAAATGGCGAGAATACATCTTCGCAAACAATATCAATAAGATACATCAACCCCGAACCTGTATATGAATGATATGATCCCTGTTTATAAATTCCAGTTACATAAGGTCTTTTTAATTTTTTACAAGCTTTCGTCTGTTCCTACAGACATCCTCAGGTATGGAAATAGATTTTGTTCTTGTTTTTTTACTTCTCGGTAATAAGAGGACAACGAAAATAGAGATGTAATCCGAAAAAATGCTATGAGAAATGTGTTATTGTTTTGGAACGTGCGGTCGCAACGCTGAGTTTGAATTTTAAAATTTAAGGTTGTGCCTTTTTGTACAAATATAGTAATAAGAGAATTCTTTTTTACTGGTAGGTTTTCCGTCAATGTGGCATGAACTATATTGTTCAATAATTACAGAAATGTCACACTTATTATCCGAAAGTTGCACGTTGGATCAGTTATTTTAATTTCAATTATAGGTGCAATTTTAATTTATAAATTCATGAATCATATATATATATATGACGAGAGCAATCCTGAGAGAATTGCTAGAAATATAAAGTTTGTCACTTAGCTGATTGGTGTTAATTTCAACATTCCGACTCTAGAGTTCCGTAGACGCACCCTCCAGCAATCAATACGTCTACTCGTCAGGGGATATCCGCAATTGACTCCAGCAAAAATTCTCGTTTTTCTTTTATATATAACTATATTTCGCTCTCATAGTGCATGCATTTTGAATTTGTAGGTCTGATGAATTGGATCGTGATAACGATTCCAATGTAATAAATTATAACCATGGAATATTAGTGTTTGAGCTTTTATATTATACAATCCAATCACGTTAAACATATTTCTCTACTAGGAAAATATGGTTAACGCGATTCCTCCTGTAAAAGAACTTTATCAAACTCAGGTAATGTTCTTATTGATGAAATATATATATATATATATATATATATATATATATATATATATATATATATATATATATATATGTCGTGGAAGGAAGACAGGGATATAAACGGGGAAAGTAAATTCCATCAGTAAGAAAATTAATTTAGTCTGATGAAGTCTTTGAGAAGACAAAGTGTTACTGAGTATTTTCCACTTTGTTATTCAATTGCTTAGCATATATCATACACTTTATACATACTACATATATATACATACATATATATATATATATATATATATATATATATATATATATATATGTATGTATACACACACACGCAATTTTCATTGATGCATCTTTCATTAAATAATATAGACAAGTTTTGTCTATTTATTTTAAGTAAGTTCCTTTCATATTGTCTGATAAGCTTAATAACATTATTATTGAAAGACGAAAGGAAATCACCATATTGATATATGTTTTAATCCTATCTAAGCTTTCGGCTTACATAAGCCATTATCAATGATGGCAATTGCATTTCAGTATATCAAAGAATACACGGACGAAGCAATAGTGATAGTCTGTTTTGTTGCATGAAAAATTTCAAAGCAACCACTAACTCGTGTATACGACACGCGGAAGCGAAAATCGCATCGCATTTGTGGAGATTTCTTAGTTTATTTTGTTCAGGTTAGGTTTCAACTGTTTTATGCATATAGCTTCAAGAATTTTTAGTTTTTCTTTATTGTTTTCATCTTTAAGTATATTTGTGTTTTCAACGAGGATTTTGAGGAATTGTGTACGCGGCCAGGCATGTTGTTTTAAATGCCTAAAAATGTTAGAGTTATAAATAATCTACGAAATCTCCACAAATATTCTTAAATGCCTATAATTGATAACATAAGCCAATTGTTTATACCAACGGCTTCCATACTTAATATTTCTCGTTTTCACTCTCGCGTTGTCATGTGTGACGTCACGAGCTGCGATGCGATTTTCGCTTCCGCGTCTCGTATACACGAGTTGGTTGTTGCTTTTAAACTTTTCACGGAACAGAAACAGACTATCATTATTACATGTTACATGGTCACCCCCCCCAGGGTCCCCATATATCCCGGTTGAGAACCGCTGCTATAAACGGCCCAAAGTTTCTGTTTTTTTATTCCTATTTTCATTGTGAGTTAATTTCGCACATTATTAAGATGCATTTCTGCGTTTAACAATGCTTTTCGTTTTATATTTTCAAACTTTTCCTCTCGCAATTATTTTGTTTATTTGCTTTTTCCTTTTGTTAAATCCTTGAATTCGACGGCTCGTAAAAATTGGGATTAAGTCTCTTCCATACGCGTACACTCTAATCTTTTAAATGCAACGTCAATCGCCATCTTCTGCCGCCTTGAATTTGAATATGGCATAGATTACTGTAGACATTCCAATTCTCAGTTGTAATAAACGTTCCGAACTGAAATTGCTCTAAAATATTAGTGTGAATCCTCAATTTGCTATTTTTTTTTCGTTTCGAACTTTATTAATGTTATATGCCAACCCACCGTGGGTCCACATGACCCCCGGTTGAGAACCACTCTCATAAACGGTACAAAGTTTTTTTTATTTAATTCCTATTTTTATTTTCAGGTAATTTCGGATATAATAATATTTTCAAGCTTTTGCCCTACCAGTTATTATTTTTTTTCTTTTTTGTTAAATACAACGGCTCGTAAGAATTGGCAGTGAGTCTCCTCCATACCCGAACACTCTGAGATCTTTTCTCTTTTTTTACACGATTCCTCCACTTCATTTTTAATTAAAACCGACACCATTATTACTATTAGTTTTATTCGTCGGCGATAGAATAATATTATTAACATTTGTCGTTTTAACTTCGTTAGTCTACGGTTGGCAATCGTTAAAATAATCTTTGTCTTCATCCGAGACAACCTTTGTCGAGCAAAGGTAATCAAATTTTAGAGTAGGAACTTTCTAGCCAGAGGCGAGATAGCTGGGTGGTCACCTTGAATCTCGTAGTTAATAAAGGTCACATAGTCTGCTTCGAAAAAGGCGGCAATTCTATAAAAGACAAAACTTAGTGCCGACTAACAGACACATTCAATAAGCAAACAATTGCGGCAGAGGTTTCTCTCAATATATAAAGAATTCTACTCTTAGAATATAAAACAATTTCTCGTAAAATAATGAGAGCTAATAAAACTGTTTTGTCTAGAGAAAAACCGCACAGACATGGGCAATATTAATTTTGGTATCAATTGAACCGTAGCGATGACAGCCACATCGTGCTCAGATAAAAATATAGAAATGCTGCAGCAAACATTGATTAAAACTATAACGAAAACGACAATCAATATTTATCTAATCCCAGTGCCCGTCGTTCTGTAGCGTACAAAACATGCGAGGCTCTGTTTTATCTTTTCTTACCCATATGTTAATGAAACGATACAGATTCACAACATATATACGCTTATAGTGTATATATGTTTATATATCTTCAGATATATATAATGTGTTTATATATTTATACACACACGCACACACAGATATATATATATATATATATATATATATATATATATATATATATATATATATATATTAAGTCCATTAAAAATTAGAAAATGTTGTATTGCAGGCCATGATAAGTTTATAAATAAAACACACATGGCAGTCGACCGGTTTCCGATAACAGGTTAAAATCCTCTCGTCAGAACTGTTAACGGGAATTTAGATTATGAGGAAAAGAAAAAAGTCTGTAATAAATATATATATATATATATATATATATATATATATGGGTGACATGGCATAAAAACTAGAAATGGACAGGGATAAGTTTAAATAAAAACACATCAAAGAAAAAAAATTATACCAAAAAGTCTGTCATGGGTAGGAATGAATGGACAGAACAGAAAAAATTATACCACAAGTCTAGAAGTTCAAACAAGTCTTCTTTGTTTGCAAAAGAGAAGGCTGCCTGGACCTGATGTAAAGCGACTCAACACCTTAAGATGGAAAAGTGAGTGCGAACTGGCCAAGACGGAAAACCAGTTCACACTAATTAAAATACAAAATGTGGCACATGGCCAAAGAGGGGGATGGGGAATGACGGTCTTCTTCTGTCTTAATCTAAAAAACTTAGCTAGTCACAGACACTGCCAACAATAATCCAATCACCAAAACATCACATTCACTCCTACCTTTCTTACTACGTCCACCATAATACCTCAGTTTCTCTATGACGTCCTAAATAGTCCCCTTATACAAACAAATATTGTTCATGGGGAGGGTCATAAAATAACAACTTTTAAAAAAATCCCAAATGAATATTTACAAAATGAAATAATTATTTACAATAAACTAAACAAAAATGAGTTAGTAATAAAACCCCCATAAACTATGAATGTGGCAGAAATATCAGTTAACCGGACGAAATCGATGCGGGACTAAGAAAATGAGTACACATTCAAACCATCAAGCATTCACACAAACACTCACTCATTCATACACAACAACAAATACGAAAACACACACCTGAAAACGA